TTGATTTGGATGAATATGGTCAACAATAGCATGGATATGATGAAGAACAGCTAATTGAACACTTTTTGATCTGAAATTGGACATTAGAATCGTCAATTTCGTGTTTATTGATCTTTGACTTCGAAAAGTCAATTCCAGAAAAAGTCAAACTCGACTTCTATTCGTTGAATTGGAAGTTGAAATTGTTTGATACAAGTTGAACATGGGATATGAATGTCGAAATCATGATTGATTTTGGGTTCAATTTCGAAAAGTGTTTGGAATTGAATTTTGATGTCGAACGCTCCAAGGCTTGAGAACGATGGGCTGAAATTCGTGGTCAACTGGAAGTTTTTGAGTAATTGATGCCGAAATCATTTTTGATTTGTATTGCTCAGCTTGATGTTGAATGAATTCTGGCCAGTTCGTTGTTGAAAAAGTGAATTCGCTTTTGGGGTCATAGTCGTCTTTTTGTTTGGTGATCAAAACTGAGATCGATGACCTGATAACGAATGGAAATCAAAGGCGATAGCAAAGTTCTGGTCTTGGAATGTTGGATTGGGAAGGTATCAATAACGAGTGTTTGATGTAGAATGGAAAGGATAAACTGTGATGATTTGGTTTTTATCGATGAATGGTTTTGGAGTCAAATGGAACAGTCAAAATTGCAGAATCAGATTGGGAAGGTTGAACAGATTTCGAAATTGGGTCATTTACTTGATTTCGAAGGCTTGTTAGTTTGATATGGAATGTACAAGGCAAAGAACGAAGGCTTGACTGGGATATTTTGAGTTGGCTAAAGAACGAAGATTTTGGTTTGCTAAGTTTCGACGGTTTGGATTTTGTAGTCGACGGCTTGTATTAATGTGACGAAGATTTTTACCTTACTGTCGAAAATTTGAGCATAGATGTTGACTAACGAAGGTTTTGGTGTCAATGTTTTGAAGGTTTTGGTATCTGACGTTCGCGAACTGGAATACATGAATTGGGGAAGAAGAAAACATCAAGTTTCGAAATTGGACCCTGCAGTTTCGAAAGTTTGCCAATATGTACCCAGTTTCGAAAGTTTGATGATATGTGCAGAAATTTCGAAATCAGTCCTTAAAGTTTCGAAAGTTTGACATTCTTTATCCAACTTCGAAAGTTGGATTAATTTTCGACATTTTGGGACAAAAGGCAGAATTTTCGAAAGTAGTCCCTGCAGTTTAAAAAATTTGGCAGACCATACCCAAATTTGAAAATGGACTAAATTTTCTGAGAAATTGAAGAATATTCATTTCAGGCCCCTGCAGTTAATGTGAATTTACGCTTTCTACCCAGTTTCGCAGATGGGGGAGAGTTTCGCATTTTTGGCTGTTTTGGGCGCACCGGGTCACTGCAGAATTTTGAAAGTTGACAATTTCTACCCAATTTTGAGAAATTTTGTCAAAAGCGATCCGTGAACGAAGCTAAAAATTGAAGATTTTTTGGATTTTTCGGATTGAAGCAAAAAGTTTATGCCATGTGTTAAGGGGGAGTTTTGGCTAGAAAATTTTCGAATAGAGCACTTTCTCATTCTTTTTTGGTTTTATAATCAATTTTCGATTATAAAAAGGGGGGAAATTTATATGGAAATTCGAAAGTTGAATTTTTCATATTACGTGGACTTGAAGACCGAAGTGACCTCGAGTATTTGAAGTTTATGAAATGATTCGATTGGAGATTCGGAAGTGATTTCGGTTCATGATAGGTTTGGACTTATTGAATATTTTTAGGGTGTGCTTTTATGCTCAACTTTAGGGTGATTATTTGGAGATTGAGAAACTCCTAATTATCCGTTGATGCTCGGTTCGTATGGTTTCACATTCTAGAACCCAATTGAAGAATCATGGAAGAATTGAAGATTTGAAGTTCATCTCTACACGTGTCACGCTTGAGGCTCGATTCGCGTAGCTGCTTGATTTTGGAAGATTTGAAGTGGGTCATCCATTCCTAACTTTGAGGGGGAGAATGTTAGGTACAAAGTTATCCATGTATGACTTTGTAAATGGTTTGACTTTTATAGACCCACTTGCATGTGGTACATTAGCCTTTTGATATTAGAGATAGAGAGAGAGAGAGAGAGAGAGAGAGAGACATGTAAACACCTCTATATATAAGGTGGGTTCATTCCACATGTAGAGGTGTGCTTGAGAGATGTAACATTGAGAGTGTTAGTGTGTGTTAATTATATAGATTTAGATCTAGATCCCTTTTTGTAACACCTTTCATAATCGAATGCATCTCTTAAACACCGAAATCACCATGTTATTTGTGTGTTCTTTAATTCTGCATGTCAAACCAATGTTTATAATTCACATCAGCCTCATTGCCCACTGTGGAGTAAGGTCTCTGGGCATAAATCTGAGATTTGTAGTTTTAGGCCTTTTGGGCCATAATGGGCCATTCAAAATTATTTATTTTGGGCTAAGGATTTATTGGGATTGCGATAAGGCCCAGTTGGGCCCAATTCAGAAAATTAGGCCATTGGTGGGCCACTTGTGGGTTTGGTAAGACTATTTAGATTTGGGGCCTTTCGTGTTATGGAGTTGGGCCCTAGCATTGGCCCAGTTAGATCAGGGGTAAAATGGTCATTTTACCCTAAGAAGGATTATTAGTTTTTGATTAAGTGTTATTGTGGTAATGATAGCTCGGGGAGTCAGCGGAGCTACCGCTAGAGATTTATTATCATGAGATTCTGCATTCATCTTTGCGAGGTGAGTTACCTTCCTGTAGGAGTGGGTCGAAGGCACCAATGGCGGCCCACTAGTAGTTGTTTATGGTAGAGACGATTGTCTTCGTGATAATTGTCTGGTATGTCATTACCTTTTATGATTTATATGCTTATTGCTATGTTATTATGTGGTAGTGGTAGGGGTGAAATAGTCCCTGTAATCGGTTGAAATAAACCGGAGGGTAGGTCGGGCACCCAGATATGCCTGGCAGGGTAGGTCGAGCACCCAGAGATGCTTGACAAGGTAGGTCGAGCACCCAGATATGCCTGACAGGGTAGGCCGGGCACCCAGATATGTCTGGAAATGTATGATTATGTGGTATGACGGGGGAACTCACTAAGTTTTATGCTTACGGTTTTCAGTTTTGGTTTCAGGTACCTCTTCTTCGAAGGGAAGGGAGCCGACATGATTGCAGCACATGACACTATTATTCCGCACATGAGATTCTTGGGAGATATACTCTGATGATGTTTTAATGTGACATGTTTTGATTATTGACATTTGGGTTTTTTATGGGATGACACAATGAATGTTTTTAACACTAATGGTTTCCTTATTACTTATCTAAAAATGAAATTTTTGGTCTTAATTTTTGGGGTGTTACAACGTGGCAGGATCCCAAACCCTAATTTTTAGGGTTTGGACCCTATTTAAACATCTTTATGGCCTCCAAGTATTTTCTCTCATCAGCCTCCATCACTTCACTCGACCACAACAAACCCTAGTTGCTTGTTTGAGCATTCTTGACCTTTGGTGTGCATTTTTGGTTACCTTGAAGGAGAAGGAAGGAAGTGGAATCACCTTGGGAACTTGAGGAAGCTTTGGATCTGGAACCCCCATCTATCTAGCAAATTTCAAGAGGTATAAAGTTCTGAACTTGACTTTCATTTTCTTTAGATCATGTTAACTCTTGAGTCTTGAAACATTTTGGTCCCCAAATCTCCATTTATGACTATGTCATACTCTAGACCGTATAAGTTGTCCTTTCAGACGTTTTGAGATGTCTAGAAGCATAAAAATATGATCTTGGTTCTTAGTTCTTCCCCATGCATGTGCTGTTGGATTAGGTGTCTAAGCCCATAACTATAATTGGTATGTACTTGACCCGAGAGTAGCATGGTCCATTTTGGGTTGCATTCACCAAAACAAACTGATAGGATGGATATTTGAGAAAAAGGTTATTTGTGATTTATTAATATATTATAAGTAAAATATATTAATTGTGAAATCATATTATTTAATTAGTATTGATCAAAAATTAATTTGGAATTAATTTAGTGATCAA